CCAGAGCCATGGACCAGTACTGGTCTGCGGTCTGTTAAGAACTGGGCTGCACAGCAGGAGGTGAGTGGCAGGCTAGCTATGAAGCATCATCTGTATTTGCTGTTGCTCCCCATCACCCACTGGCATTGCCACTTGAGCTCAGCCTACTGCCTTCTGTCATATCAGTGGTGGCATTAGATTTTCATACCAGTGTGAAACCTATTCTGAACTGCCCATGCAAAGTATCTAGATTGTGCCCTTCTTATGAGAATCTAATTTCCGATGATTTGCCACTGTCTCACATCACCCCCAAATGGGACCATCTCGTTGCAGGAACACAGGGTCAGGGTTCCCACTGATTTTACACTATGGTGAGTTGCATAATTATTTTACTATATATTACAATGTAATGATAATAAGATGCACAATAAATGTATTATGTGTGAATCATTTCAAAATTGTCCCCCCAGCACCTGTGGAAAAATTGTCTTCCACAAAACTGGTCTCTGATGCCAAAAAGGGTGGGGAGACTGACATAAACTATTAATTATATAAAAGCCAGTATCTCTTACAAATATTTTGAGGGGAAAAATAATCAGACTAGTGATATCAAAATAGGGTATCACAAAACACAATAACAGACCAATTGTATTAGTTTGGTACAAGAGTAATTGCAGTTTCTGCCATTACTTACACTAGGCAAAATTTTTAATTTATCAAGCATATACATCTCATTTTTTTCAAAAATAGGACACTTAATAAAGCCAGGTAGTTTTCATTATGAGAATAAGTTACACTTATTCCTTAGAAAATATATTACTGCATCTTACCAAATTAAAGGAGAAATTTCTTGTCACATTGATATATGGATTTAATAAAGTTTTACATTGATTTGAAAGAAACAAAAATATTTTATTTACTTGGAAAGAACAAATTTCTTAAGACTATTTGAAATTAACAATAATATATTTTGTAGATTGACAATTATAAATTTTCCTTTAAAGAAAAAAAAAGACAAAGTTTCTACCTATCAAAATTGTTATATGATATAGTTCAGGGAGAAAGAGTTTGAGTAATGTGAATATATTAAAAGTGAGGAAAAAATACTCCAAGTAAGAAAAGTAAATTAAAATTATTTGCAAATAATTTTTGCCCAGAAAATCTAAGAGAAACAAGTGAAAAATATCATTAAAAGTAGTGAGGAAAATTAATAATATAATGAGATGAATAAAAAATATTTTAAAATGATACATCAACATTGAAAAGTGTTATGAAAAAAAATCCATAAATATTAGGTAGAAACCATTAAATATTAATTCATAATAAGAAATATGGACAAGTAATTTGACAAAAATTCAATTCACTAAACTCATCATCGTTTTGCATATTGGAAAGAAAATATCAAATTCTTTACATTCTATTTGCATATTTGTTTCTCTAGATTAAATTTTTAAAGGATTTAATCCCAAAATTAAGTATACTGGGAATTTGATTGGAAGGTCACTATAGAAAAGTTTTATTTGAAGAGAATTGATATCTTACTATATTTTCATTGAATGAATGTCATGAATGCGTGTCATGCAATGTGTTCGCACTGATTCAGATGGTTTTATCTGTTTCATTTTCTAATTCATTCCTCAATAATTTTATGTGCCATAGTAAACTCATAAGATATGTAGCACTTGAAAAGAATGGAGTAATTGACCAATAGATGTAATAGAAAGTCTAAACAGAGGAGTTTGTATTACATACAAACTTGAATGAATATTCATTCAATAACTATACTAAGCATATGACAATTATTTTTCTGCTTCTAAGTATATGAAACCCTATTGTTTGCTCATATAAACTTAAAGAAGAATTTCATAACATTGTACAGATGATATGCATATTGTAGAAAGTATTCACTATACCTAAAATATATGTAATCCTCTATAATACAGCATCCATGATAAAATATTCTTAAATAATCTAAATTATATAAACATCATAATTTAAAAAGCATAAGAGAATAATTTTGACTGAAAGAGGGGTTAGGGATAAAATTCCAAATGAGCTAGGAACCAAGATATGATATTAAAGCTGCATTGTTGGCTGGTCGTGGTGGCCCCTGCCTGTAATCCCAGCAATTTGGCAGGACCAGGCAGGAAGACTGCTTGAGGTCAGTAGTTAGAGACCATCCTGGGCCACATAGTAAGACCCTGTCTCTAAAATAATAAAAATAAAATAAAATAATTTAAAAACCACATTGTCTTCTAGTGACTTAATATGACATATGTGTAATTATTTTTCTTGTTGTAGCACTTTCTTTCATTTTCAATTATACCCTCTCATTAATGTTAAATTGTATTATTAACTATCTTAATAATTAGGACTGAAGTTACTCACAGTTATTGGAAATTAGTATTAAATATCAAGCCACAGGTGTGCTTGGAAAAATATGTACTGCTTTCAAACTCATCAATAATATTCTTATCTTTTCAGGTGTTCTAGTTTTAGTTTACACTTTTATTGTTGAATATGTGTCAACAAATAGTAAGAATATATTTAAATTTTCTAAAAAACAAAATACAAAGCATCACATTAAAATAGTTCTAAGAAATAACTACCATTTTGATTTGCTTCTTTTTTTATCTTAGGGTAAAACAAAAAAGACAATTTGTATCTTGAATTGCCCTCAGAATAATCTTCATCTGAGATTTAAAAGGATTAAATGTTTAAGGAAAAACCAAGAAGTAAGTATTGTATAGCATAATTAATTTGATTTGTTAAACACTGTGAAAAACATTCATATACTTTAAACTAGTAGGTAATTCTTATCTATTTGGAGCATATGAAATAATTTTAATGGTCATCAAAAATCTGAGAAAATGTTTGATCTCTTTTGTGGGGTAAATAACCATGTATATTTTAAGAATCTGAGAAAAAGCTATGGAAGCTGTGTAAAATGGCTTATGAATTGGTCTTGTACGTTAAATAGCACCCAGTTGCTTGCACTGCTCTTTCCAAAGGCATTGAAGAGTTTCATTCCCATCAGAAATAATAGAAGCTGGTATGGCCTGGGAAAGAAAATGAAACCCCAGATGACTGAGTTGGCTGCAGAATAAAAGTTACAATCTGATCCTTTTTATTGTTTTCCTAGGAAGAAATTGATACAAGTAACTAGCATGCCAGAAATTTCTAGAAAAAGTTGGATGTTTGGAGTGAAAATATATAAATGAGTGCAACTCATGATTATTTGCAGAGGAAAATAAACTATTATAAAATTAGGATTCAGACAAATCCGTATTATACATATCATAGCCATATAATTTTTGTTCTTTATTCTTACTCTCCACAAAGTGTTGTAAGATATAGAAATAATTGTTACATTACTTTTTATTTAATTACATATTATTTTTAACTAAGATACAAATATAATACTATTTTTATTATCCAGGTATTTAAAATGTATTTTTTTATTTTGCTTTTTAATTTTCTCCACTGGCAAAATTAAATACTGTGGGGAAAGAAGTAATTGCTCTCCATATTTCCATTGTGCTTAGATATGGTGTTGGGCATATATTTCTTTCCAGTTAATAGGATGAGAAAACGTTATGGCAGTGCCAATTTTTTTTATTTTGGCACCAAAATTACCTACCAGCAGAAAACTATACTGTGTCTCCAAATTAGAATTGATTTAAGGAATCGGAGGATGTTGGTATAAAAAGAAATTCTAATTAGTGGATGTAATTGAATGTGATTAATCTATATTAATTTTAGCATCCAGAATAAACTATTCTTTAATTAACTCCTTATACATATAAATTAAATTTTATTACATCAATTGTAATTACTAAAAATATGCATGCAAATAACTACACAGGAACAAATTGCAATGGAAACAAAGTTTTTGTTTTTATTTTTCGAAAATTTCTTTTATGAATCACAGAGAGTCAAGCCAAGCATTAAGATTTGAAGGAAGTCCTCATGTTGAAATTTTATTAATTGATATACAGTCGTATCTCATCACTGGTATGCTAGTAAAATTTATCTGTCTTTCTGAGAAAACAAAACCTATCATTGTAATGTTTGCTGATTTTACGATACAACTATTTCCGCTGTTGGCAATTTCAAACTCCCAACGTGGCTCCACTGATAAAGGAGTTGGGAAACAATGACCATGGTGATCTCTTGTAAGCCAATGCACACCACTGGCTCCAGCACATCCTGTAACTGATTATTATTTTATTATAATTAAATGATAGCAACTTATTCAATTAGAGATTGGCTGCATAGAGTTGTTAAATACAAAATAACCAAAAGTAGAATAAGAATAAATCTCTGATAACCCAAGTGTAATACAAATACATAGAAAATCAGAAACACAGTATCATTGTTAATTAATTCCAAAGATCACTCAGAAAACAAAATACCACTTGTTGACATTTATTCCCAAAGTATATACAGAAAATTGGAGCTTTGTGTACAATTATATGTCAAGTTGGGTACCATAATTAAATAGTCCACTGTATACAAATAAAACACATCATCAAAGTTAACTGAAAATTAGTTAGAAAAATAAATATATCAGCAGAGTTTGAAATCCCTCAGCAAGTGACAGAAATTATCTCTCAAAAATGGTTAATGCTTTAAAAATTATAAAAAACAGATTATTTTAGCAGTTGAGAGTTTCAAAACGTAGTAATGAATGATGGCCATGACCTTTCAGCATCTGATCCTTTCCTTCCTGTCTAGACTCTCCCCTACCAGACTCCCCTAAAATCCCTCTAGCCACGTACCCTCTATGCCCTGCCATGTAACCTCTTATCTCTTCTTATAATGTGTCAAATTCTGGTCTCCCATGTACCTTATTGGCTCTTCCTATAACGTGTTGATTTCCTTCCCATTTCAGCAACTTGAACTTTCTTGCTGTTGTTACCAAAATACCAGGAGTTCAGTATAGATCCTGCTGTTCCCTGCACAGAAAGCCAAGGACTGAGAGGATTAGTGCCAAAAAAAGAAGGCTTTAATCAGGTGCTGCAGCTGAGATGAGAGATCAGTCTCAAACCCATCTTCCTGACTGAATAAAATTAGGTGTTTATATGGCAGGAAGAAATGTAACTGTGTGGAAAAAAACAGAAACTGGCGGAAGATAGGAAAGCAATCATGATGAATGAGGAGCCTGGCATCTCATGTCTGAATGCAATAATCTGGTGAGTTTCGGTTTTTTGATACTCTTTGAGAGGCCTGGAGGATCCTTTCCTAGGGAAGGAATTCAGATAAAACAAATGTTAAGTTTCAGGCTTAAAGCCCAGAAGGTTCAATGTTTATTTTCATCCAACAGAACTGCCTATGGGATTACTGGGTGGGTTAATAGTGTTCTGCTATCCACACTTCTGCCATTAAGAGACTATTCACCTTCTTTTACACTTCACCTATGTTAATGTAGTCCAAAGCACTTATTTTCTGAAATTGTATTATTTACTTTTTTCTCAGATATTCATAATGTATCTCACTTCCTACTTTGTAAGTTCCGTGAAAGCAAGTGAATTAGTTTTTTTATTTTTTTTATTGTTGTATAAGGAACTATTACAAATAGTGGCTTAAAACAATGAATATTTATTATCTCACAGTTTCCTTGAGTAAGGATTCTGGGCAGGGTTCTCTGCATATAGTTTCAACCAAGCTGAAATAAAAACACCAGCAAGAGCTATGATCTCATCAGAGAGTCTCAACATTCAGTTCTAAGCTCATTTGTGTTAGCAGCATGTATTTCCCTGTGTTAGTGAATGAACCAAATATGTTTCGGCCTTCTTGGTACAGCAAAGCAAAATACTGACATTCAAATTGGAGCAAAACAATCAGGCATTTATTTCAGGATACTAAGCAAGAGAATCAGGCAGCTCATGTTTAAGACCCATACTCCTGGTTGGCTTACAAAAAAGGGTTTTTAAAGCCAGAAGAAATTTTCAGGAGTGAAGCTACATGCTAAATTAATATGGAGGTTATACATTGAGTTGGCCTAAAAAATGGGTGATATATTGAAGGGGAAGCTCACAGGTTGTAGGCCAATTCAAAGATTTTCTTATTTGCAATTGGTTAAGGAAGATAATCTTTGTTTAAAAATTTGGGGTCAACAGAAAAGGGGTTAGTTCTGGCTTGTGTATGTGACTTCTTTCAGGAAGAACTTTAGAAAAAAGAGCGGTGATCAGAGCTGTCTTCAGTTCCCCCTTATCTGATGTCTACCTGCCAACAGGTCTGTTTATTGGTGGCCCAGGTTTCTGAAAAACAACTCAAGGGCATGTGCTAAGATATTATCTTTAGTTTCTATAATGAACCAAACTTTACATGACTCTAACTTCTGTTTCTCTCTCTCTCTCTCTCTCTCTCTCTCTCTCTCTCTCTCTCTCTCTCCCCCTCCGCCTCCCCTATTTATTTATTTATTTATTTATTTATTTATTTTTTTATTTTTTTGCGACAGAGTCTCACTCTTGTCACCCAGGCTGGAGTGCAATGGTGTGATCTCCGCTCACTGAAACCTCTACCTCCTGGGTTCAAGCAATTCTCCTGCCTCAGCCTCCTGAGTAGCTGGGATTGCAGGTGTCCACCACAACTCCCAGCTAATTTTTATATTTTTAGTAGAGACGAGATTTCACCATGTTGGCCAAGCTGGTCTCAGATTCCTGAACTCAGGTGATCCACCTGCCTCAGCCTTCGAAAGGGCTGGGATTACAGGCATTACCCACTGTGCTCAGCCTCCTTTGCTATTTTTTTTAAGCTACTATTACCATCTTGCTTATCAAGTTGCTTATTTACTTCTCAGAGCTAGCTAGATTCCCAGAATTTCCCTTGATGGAACTAAAGATTTTTCTTTGTTTTCATGCTGGGGGGACTACATTCCCCTAAAAGAGATTTTTACTCCATCTCACTTGCAGGTAAAGGCCAGTGGTTCCTGCTTTCTCATTAGTTGTAAACTGGAGCCATACTCAGATCCTAGAGCCCACTCACCATTCTATGCAACATGGCCTTTTCCAGATGTAGAACTTTGCTTCAAGGCCAGGTGGATACTCTCCGTCATCTGCAAATACAAAATCTTATACAGTCATGCATTGCTTAATGATGAGGATTTAGTCTGAGAAATGCATTGTTAGGGTGATTTTATGATGCACAATTGTAGAGTAAACTCAAACCAATTTAGGTGGTGTAACATATTATGCACCGAGGCTGTCTGGTAGAACTTATTTCTTGTAAGTTACTGTATTGAATACTGCTACTATATTGAATACTGAAGACAGTTGCAATACAATGGTAAATATTTGTGTATCTAAACAGAGAAAAAGTACAGTAAAAATATGGTATTCTAATCTTAAAAGACCACCATTGTATACATGGTTATTGGCTGACCAAAATGTTGTTATGCTGTGCATGATTGTACAAGGTAATGTAATCATTGAAGTGACCATCTGTAATATAATTAAAATAGATTTGCTTTGTGTCTGATTCCTAGCAAAGAGATCCTAAAACCTTGGAATTTCCTGAGTGATAACAGTATCTTTTGCATGTTAATGAGATGACTCTTTGGAATAGGAGCCAGATGAATTCAGGATGTGGTCTGCGGTCATCAATTCATCAATGTGAAAACCAACCCAGATATTAGCAGGTTAGAAATTTTTTTCTTTTTGTTTTGTTTTGTTTTCTTCTCTTTCTCTCTCTCTCTTTTTTTTTTTTTCTTTTTGGAAGATAGAGCCTCTCTCTGTTTTCCAGGTAGGAGTGCAATGGTACGATCATAGCTCACTGTAGCTGTGAACTACTCAGCTCAAATGCTCTTCCTACCTCAGCCTCCCAAGTAGCTGAGGCTACAGTAGCACACTCAGCTGATTTTTATATTCTTCTTTGTTTATTTTTATTTTTCAAGAGATGAGGTCTCACTATCTTGTCAGACTGGACTTGAACTCCTAGCAACCTCAAGTAATACTTCTTCCTCAGCTTCCTGAGTCCCCAGGATTACAGACATGAGGCACCGAGCTCAAGGGTTAGATTATGCCCAGTTACTGAACATGATAAAACAGCAACAACAGCAACAAAACTCCAAATGAAAAGATTTGGGTAAGCACAAGCAAGGTGGTGAGCACATTTACCTGCTAGGAGTCTGATACACCCCAGCAACCCTTAAAAGTGAGGCTTCTGTGCACTCAGGGCCCTTCTGGATGTCACCTTATGTACAGCATTATTAGTTTGTTCATTTGAATCCTTTAGAGTAAAACTGTAATCACAATTATAGTGCCTTTCTAATTATTTTGAGTCAATCAAATTATCAAATCTGAGGCCAAGTTTTGAAAACTCCCAACTTTGATGTAGGCCTGGAAGAAGTATGGGTTCTCCGGAGTTCGTAATTGCAGCAGGCATCCAAGCAGTTGAAGTCTTATAGAACTGAGCTTTTAACCAGTAGGGGTTGTGCTAACTCTGGGTGTTTAGTGGCAGAATTGAATTCCATGATAGTGTACCCAATTTGGGTGAACATTTGGAAAAGTGGGTGTTGTATGGGAAATTCAAGCACAATCTCATCAATTTTGTTATAAAAAATAATAACCAAATCAAAGGGGTGAAGATTCTGTCATGTTTACAGATCTCACCCGCAGCTTAAGGGAATATGATTTTACAGAGCTTGTGCAACAGACAGAGGGGTAGCATAAAGACTGCCTTAGAATTCTTCCAACCACAGCAATGATGTCAGATACCTAATATCTAAAATAATACTTGACATATGTAAATAGTCCAGTATTGATTTGCTTCTTGTCAGTGAAGTTTTTGCATTAGGTTTATTATTTATACAAGTTAAAAACTTATTTCAAAAGATTTAAAATATTGAAGTCAATCTAATGTTAAATAATATAGGTAGGCAGCATCCTTTTTTTTGAGACAAAGTCTCACTCTGCCACTCAGGCTGGAGTGCAGTGGTGCCATCACAGCTCACTGAACGTCCACATCTGAAGTTCAAGCGATTCTACTGCCTCAGCCTCCAGAGTAGCTCTGATTATAGGTGCCCACTACCATGACTGGCTAATTTTTGTATTTTTAGTAGAGATGCAGTTTCACCATGTTGGCCAGCCTGTTCTCTAATTCCTGACCTCAAGTGATCTGTCTGCCTCAACCTACCAAAGTGCTGGGATTACAAGCATGAGCCACCATGCCTGGCCAATATCTACATTTAGATTGATGAAGTCTTTCCTCTATGTCACATTTTAGACACTGGTTCTACGAAGGCGACAAAAGAGTAATCTAGCTATTTATAAAATAATTTTGAAATGTTGTAGTTGAAAAATTCTTTGTGTGTATAACCTGTCACCTTGTAAACATAAGGACCAGAAGATATCATGTGTAAATTTTAAATGCCTATTTTCTGTATCTATTAGTTCATTCTCTTGCTGCCAATAAAGATATACCAGACACTAGGTAATTTATAAAGGAAATGTTTAATTGACTCAGAGTACAGCATGGCTTAGGAGGCCTCAGGAAACACAGTCATGGCAGAATGGGAAGCAAACACATCCTTCACATGGTGGTAGGAGAGAGAAGAATGAGTATCCACTGAAGGTAGAACCCCCTTATAAAACCATCACATCTCATGAGAACTTACTATCATGAGAACAGGATAGGGGAAACTGCCCCCATGATTCAATTATTTCCCTCTGGTCCCTCTGACAGAATGTGGGCATAATAGGAAGTTCAGTTTAATATAAGATTTCGGTCAGGACACAGTCAAACAATATAATTCTCTCCCAGCCCCTCCCAAATTTCATGTCCTTACATTTCAAAACACAATCATAACCTCCCAAAACTCTGCCAAAGTCCTAACTCAATCCAGCATCAATTCAAAGGTTCAAATCCAAAATTTCATCTGAGATAGAGCAAGTCTCTTCTGACTACGAGCTTGCAAAATAAAAAGCAAGTGAGTTACCTCCTAGATATAATGGGGATACAGGCATTGGGTAAATACCCTCATTCTAAATGGGACAAATTGGCCAAAACTAAGGAGCTACAGACCCCATAAAGTTCCAAAATCCAATAGGGTAGTTATTAAACCTTAAAGGTCAAAATAATTTCCTTTGACACCATGTTTCACATCCAGGGCATGCTGATGCAAGAGGTAGGCTCCCATAGCCTGGAGCTGCTCTGCTCCTGTGGCTTTGCAGGGTCAAGCCCCCTCCAGGATGCTTTCATAGCTGGCATTGAGTGTCAGTGGCTTTTTGAGGTGCATGGTGAGAGCTGTCAGTGGATCTACCATTCTGGGGTCTAAAAGACGGTGGTCCTCTTCTCACAGCTGCACTAGGCAGTGCCTCACTGGGAAACTGTGCGGGGGCTCTAAAATGACATTTCCCTCCCATACTGCCCTAGCCGAAGTTCGCCACAAGGACCCTGCCCCTGCAGCAAACTTTTGCCTGAACATCCGGGCATTTCCATATATCTTTTGAAATCTAGTCTGAGATTCCTAAATCTCAGTTCTTGTCTTCTGCACACCCACAGGCTTAATAACATGTGGACGTAGTCAGGGATTGGGGCTTGCAGTCTCTGAAGCAACAGACTGAGCTGTACCTTGGCCCCTTTTAGCCTTGGTGGGAGCTGAAGCAGGGGGGATGCAGGGCACTATATACTGAGGCTGCATAGAGAAGGGGGCCCTGGACCTGACCCCCAAAAAGATTATTCTCTCCCAGGCCTCTGGGCCTGTGATGGAGGGGTGGCCATGAAGGTCCAGTACATGCCCTGGAAACATTTTCCCCATTGTCTTGGTGATTAATATTCGTCTCCTAGTTACTTATGCAGATTTCTGCCCCAGGCTCGAATTTCTCCCCAGAAAAATGGGTTTTTCTTTTCTATCACGTTGTCAGGCTACAATTTTTTAAACTCTTATGCTCTGCTTTCTCTTGAACACTTTGCTGCTTAGTAACTTCTTCCAGCAGATACCCTAAATCATCTCTCTCAAGTTCAAAGTTTCACAGATTTCTGGGGTCTGGGCAAAATTCTGCCAGTTCACTTGCATAGCAAGAGTGAATTTTACTCCAGTTCCCAACTAGTTTCTCATCTCCGTCTGAGACCATCTCAGTCTGGATTTCATCGTCCATATCACTATCAGCATTTTGGTCAAAGCCATTCAGCAAGTCTCTAGGAAATTCCAAAATTTCCCACATCTCTCTGTCTTCTGAGCCCTCCAAGTCTCTGGGAATTTCCATATTTCCCCACATTTTTCTGTCTTTTCCTGAGGCCTCCAAACTGTTCCACCCTCTGCCTATTACCCAGTTCCAGATTTACTTCCATATTTTTGGGTATCTTCATAGTAGCATCCTACTCTTGGTACCAATTTACTGTATTAGGCCCTTCTCTTGGTGCTAATACAGGTATACTAGGGATTGCAATTTATAAAGGAATGATGTTTAATTGACTCACACTTCCACATGGTTAGGGAAGCCTCAAGAACTTATAATCATGGTGCATAGGAAAGCAAACATGTCCTTCTTCACATGGTGGCAGGAGAGAAAAGAATGAGTACCCAGTGAAGGGAGAAGCTCCTTATAAAACCATCAGATCTCATGAGAGCTAACTCACTATCATGAGAACAGTATAATTTATTTATTTATTTATTTATTTATTTATTTATTTATTTATTTCCACCTGGTTCTTCCCATGACAAGTGGGTATAATAGAAACTACAATTCAAGATGAGGTTTGGGTGGGGACACAGCCAAACCATATCACTATACTATACAAATTCTCCTTTTCTAGTTATTGTTGCAATTCAAAGACCTCAGAGAGTCTAGAAGTTGGAGGGCATGTGATTTTGTTTTCCTTTTTAAGGTAAATCAAACAGTTACTGAGACACTATTTACCTGAAATGGAACAGCCTCTGCATTCAGTAAAGTCTCAAGGTTAACAAATAAATATAAATAAATTTAAAAAGCCCTCAGAGATCGATATTTAACTATTAACTGAACATGTTATTATGGGGGTAAATTCACATTGTGTGTTGTGTGTGTAATACATAAACACATGCTATATATAATTTCCTTTTTATTGCCATTTCTTTCTTGTCAGGTAATCTTCTATCCTCTTTTTAAGACATCACAAGTTAATGATTGATAATTTGGGATCGACAATACTGCTGAGCGTTTTTCAGGATGTGAATCACCTTTAAACCTAGGGTATTGCTCTGAACATGTGGCTACTGACCCTGGGCTTAACCATAACTTGAATTTTACTGAGCTTCAAACACTAGTTCCAGTGAAAAATGGAACAAATTCTACAAACTGCTTCACACAAATAATGCTTCTGGATTGCTTGTTGTGCTCACTTGCAGAGCCGAAAGAATCATTTTTCTTCTAATTCTTACAGACTACAAAATGCATTCGTCTTTCCACCTCTAATCCAAGCCATACCATTTTTCCTCTGGTGAGTAAATGGTTTTGTGGAGTCTCTGTTGGTCATTATAATCCCTGGCTTATGAAGGCTTCAATGCTATCCACAACTTCTGCATTCTTCTGTAACCTTCAGTATAGCACTTTGTCTGTTTGTAAATAACTGTTAGATAGTTTAGGATAAAGATGTCTTAATCTTATCATTACATGACTTTATATAGCTATTTAAACATAATATAATACGGGCATAACTCTATATAAAAATAAAATGTCAAGGACATTAAAAACATATAATATGTAAATAAATATCACAATTTTTTAAAGAAAAATCATAGTACATGGTTTAAAAATGGACTTCTTTGCAATTTGACTCCTGCCTGTGTCCATACTCTTAACAATTACAAAATGTTAAAACCTTCACTTAGTACTGTATATATCAAACCCTAAGTACTTTTGAAGTTTACACCAATTAGCACCCTACAAAATAGTTATTACCATTAATGTCATTTGACAAATGAAAAAGCTGAGGTACTGAGTGACTTTAAACATAGCCTATAACCTCACAAAATTTCGATTTCTCCATTTTGATGGAATATATATGTGTTTAAATTTTTTTTCCATATATCTATGTTTTATATAATACTTTAAAATTTGTTGAAAGCAAGTTCTAATAAATTACAATGTGCATAATATTGTCTTGATCACTGTTCATGCTCAAAATAAGTAGTTGATTAATTTAAGAGACTTAAGTGGAAAATGTATGGCTATTTTTTAAGGACTGTGAAGGTTGCAGATTTCTACCCTATCAGAAATCTAAGTAGGTATCTTTTCAAAATTTTATGAATTACAGTAGAAGATACAAGGCTCCTGGATCAGATACAAAGAAGAGTTTATTATTATCAACAATCACCACAGCCAGAGTATTGGCATTTTAGCACCAGTTCCTGAGACCCAGTTTTCACAGGGTAATGTGAAGACGGTTGGTTAACAACCTACACAAGCAGTAAGCATCTTTACTGCAGAAAAGTCCCAAATTTATATATGTCCATTATTTTTTTCTTTAAAGTTAAAAAAGAGGTTTATTGCAAACAACAATAACAATACTAAAACCAATTTATATCTTACAGATATGTGCTCATGGTTTAACAGGAAAAAAAGGGCAAATTGTTAAAAACAGGGATCTAAAGATGTTTGTAAAGTCACTATTTTAAACCATCAGTGATATAATAATACTTATTCTTTCCATTATTACACTAAGGTGAAAATATGAATAGTGAGTTTACTAGTTACAACTTGGACCTCTAGTTTTTGTCAGGCTTAGTTAGGCTTCTGTTTTACAAAAAAAGGATGCCATTTAGTGGGAAAACTAGAGGGCGTCTTCTCTAAAACGCTAACTTTATGTATGCAAATCATATTGTTTGTGTGTTTCTTTCTTCCTTTTTTCTTTTTTTTTTTTTTGAGACAGAGTCTCACTCTGCCACCCAGGCTGGAGTGCAGTGGTGTGACCTCAATTCATTGCAACCTCTTTGCCATTACTCCAGGTTCAAACTATTCTCCAGCCTCAGCCTCCTGAGTAGTTGGGACTACAGGCACATGCTACCACATGAGGCTAATCTTTTGTATTTTTAGTTTAGATGAGGTTTCACCGCATTAGCCAGGAGTGTTCGGATTCCTGACCTCGTGATCTGCCCAACTCAGCCTCCCAAAGTGTTGGGATTACAGCCACTGCACCCAGCTTCTTTCTTTTTCTTTCTTTCTTTCTTTCTTTCTTTCTTTCTTTCTTTCTTTCTTTCTTTCTTTCTTTCTTTCTTTCTTTCTTTCTTTCTTTCTTTCTCTTTCTTTCTTCCTTCCTTCTCTTTCTTTCCTTTCTTTCTTTCTTTCTTCTTTCTTCTTTCTTTCTTTTTTTTTCTTTCTTTCCTTTCTTTCTTCTTCTTTTCCTTCCTTCCATCTTTATTTCCTTCTCTCTCTCTCTCTCCCCCCCCTTTCTTTCTTCTTTCTCTCTTTCTTCTTTCTTTTTGAGACTGAGTTTCCTTCTTGTCTCCCAGGCAGGAGTACAATGGTGAAATCTTGACTCACTGCAGCCTCCACCTCCCAGGTTCAGGCAATTTCTCCTGCCTCAGCTTCTCAAGCAGCTGGGATTACAGGCACTGGCCACCCTACCTGGCTAATTTTTGCATTATTTTTAACTGTACAGTTAGAATGTTTATTTTTTGAACTTCAGAAGTAGATACTTTCTGTTTCTTCCAAGACTGTTAGACAAACAATTTTAAAAACATAGTTTGGAATAAGTTACAAATGTATACTCATTTGTGAGGCAATGCATAAATGTAAGAAACCACCAAGAATTTTCTCCCTAGCATTCTTTTTAAAATTATTTACCCTATATGGCACTGATTTCGGTAGTGTATACTTTTTAGGTAGCCAAATATTTGTATTAGTTTTCGAAGAAGATGTCTCCTGGTGACTATCTCCCTGTGAACCAGTCTCTACAGCAGAAGTATGAATGGTATATCTGTTCAAACAAAAGAAGTGGCATAAAAAACTACATTGGGTAGCTATTGTGTATCTGATCCTCCAGGTCCCATGGTGGTTTTAAGCATAACCATATCAGCTTAATATAAAACCATGGACTTCCTAAAATTAGAGAACTTAAAAGTGATGGAGATGAAGCTACATGAAAGAGACCCTGGATTATTAACTACTTGGAGCTTTAATGAAGGGTGATACCTTTAATGAGGGGTTGACTAAACAATGATTGAAACTGATTTTTTAATCATTGTTTAGTCAAGTTTCTTTGAATGAACAATGGTTTATTTTTATTGAAGTAAGTATAAAAATTAAATATGTCATGTTTGCATATTGATCATCTATTATTTTGTAACTTTTCTATTATAAGAAAATAGGTCTTGCTCTTAGTTGTCTGTGCACTCAAAGTCTGTGCAACTTCCTTTCTAAATACTGGACATACTGGGTGTGGTGGCTGATGCCTGTCATCCCAGCACTGTGGGAGGCCAAGGTGGATGAATCATGAGGTCAGGAATTCAAGACCATCCTGTCCAACATAGTGAAACCCCATCTCACTAAAAAAAAAAAAAAAAAAAAATTAGCTGGGCATGGTGGCATGTGCCTGTAATCCCAGCTACTCAGGAGGCTGAGACAGGAGAATTGCCTGAACCCAGGAGGCGAAGGTTGCAGTGAGCCAAGATCGCGCCACTGCACTCCAGCCTGGGTAATAAGCAAAACTCCATCTCAAATAAATAAATAAATAAATAAATAAATAAATAAACAAACAATACAATAAATATTCATAATAATTCAACAGTCAAATCTCATAAAAACACAGAAACTTTACAATACATTTTACCTCTGACTTACATAATTCACATTAATGACACCACCAAATATCATTGGAGCAGCTGAACTGGAACACAGAAAATACTTCCGTTAGTATAAAAATGCCCTTTGGATTTTCTGTTGCACCATTTTAATCTGTTCAGTTTATTAGGTTAGTCAGCAGCTTATAAAAAGAGATTGGGGTAAGTTATCCCAGAAGGAGCGTGTAACATCAGCTTGCAGCAATCCCACTTTCACTGATTATCCATGGTCACTATTATCTAATGTAGAACTGACTCAGTCAAGTAAATTGGGTCATACTGAATCCTGATATGCAGGGCTGGAAAACCATGAATGAAATTGCTCATGGGATTTCTCAATCACTGTCAGTGTGTATTGTTGTAGAAATCAATAATTGATTTATTTTGTCCTCTTACCTTTTGTAATTCTTAGTGATACATTATAGAATTCTGGTTTGATAAATCTTATTCTAGACTTAAATTAACATACCTAAAATTTTAGTAAGATTTTAGAAGTTCTAATTTTCATTTCATATGTAGAACATATTTAACAATTTCTCAAAATCATTAAGAAAATTTTAGCACACCTTCATAATATTAATTCTAATAAATTATGTAATTATTTCTAATATCTTATTTATTCAAATGAAATGTTTACCCTAAATGTGATTAATAGGATCATGGTTCTATGATTATGGTTTCTGTAAAAGAAAAAATTTGTTTTTCTTATTCCATATTTTGAAGAAATATCATGCATTCCACAATATAATATTTGAAATTTGATTTGAAATAATCATTAGGGCATTGAAATTATATAGATAAAGCACAGTCTCAATAAGCTCACAATTTCTAAAGGGGATCAAGATGTTCACATACAATTTATTTATTTTATAGATATTTTACCATTTTTTAAAATAATAAAAACAAAAACAAAACAAAAATGATGTGGGTAGTTTACCATCCAATAAAGAAACACTCTCACCTAATGTCTCAAACTACAAAATATTGGCATTAAATAATAAAATTATACACATCTATTTTTCCACTTTATTAGTAGCAAACTTTTTGTTAAAATCTTAAACAAAGCAATGGAAGCAAGTATATAAATATAAGTAGGTTCTCCATGTAGCAATTTGCCACTAAAATGTATCTTCTTAGTACAATATATGTTCAAAATTAAAATACTCTTCATTTCACCTTTTTAATCCTTTTTGACAATGAGTTATATAAAGGTAACTCGAATGACTAAGCTGTGTCCCCAACATTTATATGTTGAAGTCTTTACCTCTAGTATGTTAGAATGTGACTGTATTTAAAGACAGTGCCTTTAAAGAGGTAATTAAGTTATAATAGGGTCATTAAGAGTGGGCCCTAATACACTAAGACTGGTTTCCATACAAGAGGAAGAGTAGGACACAGAGACAATCAGAAGTGAACACACAGAGAGGTTATCTGAACACACAGCAAAGTCTGCCCTCTGCAAACCAAGGAGAGAGATCTCAGTTGAAACCAAATCTGTCACCATCTCGATCCTGGGCTTTCTGCCTTCAGAACAATGAGAATATACATTTCTGTTGTGTAAATCACACAACCTCAGATATTTTGTTACGACATTTATCACAAATAAATACAGTAACTCTTCTTAAATTGTCCTTCTCCTTCATATAATCACCTTTTCTATTAATATGTGTAGTAGTCTGCTAGGACTGCCATAACAAAATACCTCAGACTAGGTGACTTAACAGAAATGCACATTTTCATAGTTATTGACGCTGAAAGTCAAGTTAAGACATTGGCAGGTTTACTTCCTCCGGAGGTGTCTCTCCTCGACTTGCAGAAAACATCTGCTAGATGTGTTCTCATATGGTCTTTTGTTTGTGTGTGCATCTCTGGGTTCTCTTTCTCTTCTTGTAAAAACACTAGTAATATTGAATTAGGGCCTCACCTTTAGCACCGCATTTAAGTTTAGTTACCTTGGTAAAGGCCATGCATCAGAATAGAGTCACTTCAGGTTAGGGCTTCAACTTATTAATTTGGCAGACAGCACAATTAAATCCACAAAATATGCATATGAAATTGTCACTTTATATGTTTATTTTATTATAAACATACATTTTTGCATTCAGGAAATGGGAGATGGTTAAAAATTTGCATAAAAATATCTGATTATTACTATTTCTCCAAAAATCTTTTTACTGTATTATGAATAACCATTCTGTAGATAGACTTTATTCTACTGTCATTTCAAAATGCAGCACCA